GAGAGGGAGCTGGAGTGCCCAGGGTTCGCATCAGCGGGCGGAGAACGTGCAAACTCCACACAGACTGGCGGCAAAGTCTAGTGGACAGTTTTCATTGGACAGTCCTCATGGACCTTGCTGTCCGATCTCGCCAGCAGACCCCCCCCCCACGCTCCTGGCCAGCAGACCAACCCCCTACCTTGTCGATCTTGTCCAGCCAGTCCTTGTTGGATGCCAGCTCGGCTGTGAAGGCCTGGTGCTTCTGCCACTTGCTGTGCAGGTTCCTCGCCTCGTCGTACGACATGTCCTGGGCCGTCAGCATCTTCTCGTTGATCCACAGGGTCAGCTTGGGGGGGGGGAGACACGAGAGGACGGCACTGAGATGTCAAGCACAAAACGTTCTCTGGCTCGAGAGAAGGCCTAACGGCGTCAGAAGCCACGAGGGGCCTCGCTGCTGTTCGAGGGCATGGCTAACCCCAAGCTGACCCTCCCCCATGACCCTTGACCTCCACCCTACCTCCTGACTGTCCTGCAGGAAGTGCTGCAGCTCGCGATTGTCCTTCAGCTTCGCCAGGAGCTCGCTAGCGGCCTGCTTATTCTTCTGGTGCCTGGTGGGGGAGAGAGGGAACCAGTTCAGAGCGCGCTCCGAGAGGAAGAGAGAAGGAAAAGAGGAAGAGGAGCGCGCCGGGCAGGAAGGCGGCGCAGACCTTTCCTGGATGGAGTCGGCCTTCTCCTGGATCTTGTCGGCGTTGGCGTTGCCCTCGGCCATGAGCCGCCGCCCGCTGTCCACCACGCCGTGGATCTTCTCCTCGCTGGCCTCCATGGTGGTCAGGAAGTCCTCGTGCTTCCTGATGGCCGCCTCCGCGCCCTGCAGCGTGGAGGGCATCTCCGTGTGGGACAGGACGTACTCCTGGGGAGCCACAGAGATGGGGGGGGGAGAGTTAGCGGGGCTGAAAGTAGGGATCGTTCGCCGGCCCCCCCCCCCACGGTCTCCGCCGGCCCTCGCCCGCTCTCACCTGATTGTTGAGAAAGCCCTCGGCCTGCATGGCGTCCCTCAGGAAGGTCTGGAAGTCGAAGGCCTGGGCCAGCAGGTTGTGCCGGTTCTCCCACATGCGACGCAGCTCGTTCCAGCCCGTGTCCAGCGCCTGCAGCCGCTGGCCCAGGAACATGTACTGGGCGTCCGTCTGGCCCCGGGTCACCTCCTCGCCCACCGCCCGCATCTTCTGGTAGTCCTCGCGGTAGTTGTCCACCTCGTTCTTGATGCCCTCGTGCTGGGCCAGCAGCCGCTCGGCCTCGGCCAGCGAGGTGGGGATGTCCTCGGAGGCCACGGCCGTCTGGGTGCGCGACAGCCAGGCCTGGAAGTCGTCCAGGTCCCGGAGGAAGCCCTGCAGCTTGCTGGCCTCCCCCAGGCTCTCCTCCCGCCTCTTCATGGTGCCGTTCAGCTCCTCCCACACCTCCTGGATCTCGGCCAGCCGGGCCTGGATCTGCTCCCCCTGCTCCGGGTGCTCCCGGGCCAGCTTGTGGGCCTCCCCGCGCAGGCCGTCCAGCTTGCCCTGGATGGCCTCCAGGTCGCGCTCCATGCCGGTCAGCTTGCGCTGCAGGGCCATCACCCCGGCCAGGTCGTTGCCCAGCCCCTGGGTGGACTCGATGACCTTGGTCTTCTCCCTCATCCACGTCCGGCTCTCGTTGCACTCCAGGTGGTAGTTCTGGATGTTGAGGGCCGACTCCAGGGCCTGCTTCTTCTGGTCTGCCAGGCTCTGGAACTCGCTCCACCTTGGGAAGGCGGGGGGGGTGTCAGTGGGCACGGCTGGAAAGCGTCTGCCTGCTGTGTTACTCTAGGAACGATCTACATAGGATCAGTGTGTACTGGTGTACCTGTGTCCAGAGCGCCGCACTGCAGCTTGTCAGGGGATCAGCACCACTGAGCAGGGCGGGATCAGTGTGTACTGGTGTACCTGTGTCCAGAGCACTGCACTGCAGCTTGTCAGGGAATCAGCACCACTGAGCAGGGCAGGATCAGTGTGTACTGGTGTACCTGTGTCCAGAGCGCCGCACTGCAGCTTATCAGGGGATCAGCACCACTGATCAGTGCAGGGCAGGATCAGTGTGTACTGGTGTACCAGTGTCCAGAGCACCGCACTGCAGCTTGTCAGGGGATCAGCACCACTGAGCAGGGCAGGATCAGTGTGTACTGGTGTACCAGTGTGCAGAGCACTGCACTGCAGCTTGTCAGGGGATCAG